CCGGCCCCGCTGGCACCCTCTTCCTTCTGTGAATGTGTGTGTGCGCACACGTGCGTGTGCAGAGGTGGCGGATGGTGGACAGCGATTCCTGCCCTCTAGCTTGGCTCTGAGGCTCTGGAAGTACAGTGTGGGCCCATAGGGACTCTGTGCCCTGCATACGTCCAGAGATGCCCTGGAGCCTGGGTCAGGCTGTCCACAGAACAGGGCATGCTCCAGGACCAAGGCCTGGCTTCCCGCTTCCCTCCCTCATCCCGGCACTACTGGCTTAGGGGCTCCATGGAGATGCAAGGCAGGGAAAGTAAGAGGATGGGGAAAGACAGGCTGGTAGGGTACGGAGGGTGATCCGGTTGTGTGGGAAATGGTGTCCCCAACGTCCAAGAGTGAAGTGGCTCAGTGGTCCCTGAGTGGGGAGACCCGCGGGTTAGGGTGAAAGGAAGAGGAGCCAGCTCAGAGAACTTGGATCATGAGCTCAGAGCCACACAGCTCCCGAGAGACAGGAGAGCTCAGTGAAGTGCTCGGTCCTGGGGTGGGATGTGCGGACAGGAGGACAGAGGGAGTGTGGCTCAGGTGGGACTGTGAGATCTGTGTCAACGTCCTGCTTCTGCTGGCTGCTCCAAGGTTATATGGAGTCCCCCACCCCGTGTGGCACAAATAGTGAAGCATCTCACTGCTAAGAAAATGTGAGGTTCAAGTCCACCCAGAGGTGTCTCAGGAAAAAGGCCTGGTGATTTACTTCATGAAAAGCTCACCCTCCCTCGCCCTGAGTCCAGGAGAACTGGATGGTGGCCACTCTGCAAGGGATCACGGTAGAGTGTCCTGGGAGAAGAACGTGGAGCAAAACGCAAAGAGAGACTGTTGGGATCCCAAGACTGAGTAACCTTCCAAGCTTGAAACGAAGGTAATTCCTGTGACTGAATTTTCAGCCAAACAAGGGGACCCTATACATCAGGGCTGTGTCCTCTCTCCTACCCATTCAACCTGTTTGCTGAGCAAATAATTCAAGAAGCTGGACTCTGTGACGAGGTATATGGCATCAGGATCGGAAGAAGACTTATCTATAACCTGTTATACAGATGACACAACCTTGCTTACTGAAAGTGAGGAGAACTTGAAACTCTTGCTACAGAAGATCAAACACTGCAGCCTTCAATATAGATTAAATCTCAACATCAAGAAAACAAAAATTCCCCCACTAAACCAAAGGCAACATTTTGATGAATGGAGAAAAGATTGAAACTGACAACAGCTTCATCTTACTTGGATCCACAATCAACACATTTGATACCAGCAGTCAGGAAAATCAGTAGATGTATTGCACTGTGAAAGTCTGCAGTCAGGGACTGCTCCAAATTATTGAGGAACAATGATATCAGCTTGAGGACTAAGGTGTGCCTGCTTCTAGTAATAATCTCTTCAATCACTTGCTATGTTTCTGAGAGCTGGACAATAAAAATAAGGATGACAGAGAAGATTTGATGCCTGTGAGCTCTGGTGTTGGAGAAGAGTGCTGAACAGCCCATACCCTGTCAAAAGAACAAACATTGTGTCCTGAAGAAGGTGTAGCCAGAGTGTTCCTTGGAGGTAAAGATGACAAAACTTTGTCTCACATGTTGTGAGGAGAGGGTGTTTCTTGGAGAGGGACGTCATGCATGGAAAGGTGGGGGGGGGGTCAGTGAAAGAGAAAGACCCTCAACTAGATGGATTGACATGGTGATGGCAACAATGGGCTCAAGGGTGTCAGAGATGATGATGATGGTGCGAGATAGGACAGGGTTCAGGTCCATTGTTCATAGGGTCGTTATGGGTTGTACTTGACTCGATGGCACCTAACAACAACATAGGATGACTTAGAATAGTCACTTCTTAAAACAATCAACCATCTGAAACCCAAAGGGCAGTATTTGCCCAGGGATAAAACACAGATCATAGGAAGGGACAGGAAAGAAAGATTAATGGAAAGGAGAATCACAGGTAGGGATTGGGAAGAGTACTGTGCCAGCATGAGGACTGTAATTACTGTCATTAAACAGCCTGTGTGTGAATGGCTGGGTGGAAAGCCAGTGTGCTCCAAAAACCTTCACTCAAGTCATGAAAATAAGTTATTTATTATTTTAATGATAAAACCCTGTGTGATAGAGTCATGGTCTAAGATTCCCGGCATGAGGTGACTTCATGAAAACTAGGTTTGGCGAGTTCTGGTGGCCTAGTGGCAAGAAGCTGCACTGCAATCCCAGAGGTGAGCAATTCAAATCCACCAGATGCTCTGCTGGAGAAGGAGGGACAATCTCCTCCTGTACCAGTCAGATCCGATTTGATGGTACATGCACACACAAAATGATAATGATAATAATAATAATAATAATAACTTTAAAAAATATTTTAAAAACTAGGTTTGTGGTCTGTGGTTATGAAGTGACATCGTTCAGAGTATTCAGAGATAGTGGGAATCATGTGTATGATGCACTTGAAAGGGGTGCAAAAGTTATTTTGGTTGCGATCACACTGACTCTATAAATAAACGTGAGAGGACAAAAACCACAGAGGAGGGGCAGGGCAGGTGGGAACAGGAGTGTCGCCCCTCCCGACTCTTTGTGGCCTCACGTGGTGGAGTTGACCTGCCTGGAAGGGTTTCCCGGGCTCTGGTCATCATGGAAGCAGATTGCCCAGTCTTTCCTCCTGCAGAGCTGACTGGAGGCTCGAACTACCAACTTTTTGCTTAGCAGCCCAGTGCTCATACACTGTGTGCCACCAGGGTCCCTTTTGCAGAGGCTTGGCTGGCTCTGAAAGCCCGCGTACAGGGTGGCGGTAACTCCCTGGAGTAGCGTTCTCTGCTTGCCTCACTTGGGAAGAACATCTGATGTCCTTAAGAAATGACCCAGACCTCAGTCCAACCTCCAGAGACTCCCCTAGAACGTGCTAGGGGTGCAGCCTGGGGCACTGGAGTTTCTAGACACTTCAAGGTGATCCTCAAACCCATCAGGGGGAGACCACCACCCTGCTCTGCTTCTTCAGCTCTGGACTCATCCCTGACCTTGTTACGCTTCCCAGAACGGACACGGGGCAGGGGAGCAATGAAAGGGTCGTTATTGACTAGGCCACCCATGAATGCAGGGCTGAAGGCCGATCCTGGGGACCAAGAAAGAGGCTGTGGACCCTGGTTCTCCCGTGGGGCCGCCACTGCTGGGATGGTGGAGATGGAAGCCTGTGAAGGGAAGGAGGGAGGGAAGAGGACTTGGAGAGGCTTTGGCTCGGCCAGGGGGCAGTCTGCCTTCTGGGTCCACGAAGCCCTTACCGGGGGCCTTCTGTGTGCCCGGCTGAAATATTTGGAATAATTAGCAAGTGAAAGCAGCAAGTTGGTCCATAAATGTCAGCTTGGCCCCCGGCCAGCCTGGCACAGGGGAGAGGCAGTGGAGGCTGTGCAGGACTGGGAGACAGTGCACCAGTGTGTGTGTGTGTGTGTGTGTGTGTGCCGTGAGGAGGGGTGTGTGTGTGCACGCGCTGTAGGGGCTGTGCATCAGTGGCGGAGGTGCTGGGTTGAGGGTGGGGAGGTCCATTCCAAGCCAAGCTGGGCCAAGGGAATTGCCAGATGCCATGGAGTGGCCTCAGATTGTGCCTTACTTTTTTCCCCTCCAGCACTCTGGTCCTTCACAGAGGGGGCTGGTGGAGTCAGGGAGGAGTGGACGGTCCTGTGGCTGTCCTGGTCCACACTCCGGGGCATGTGGTGGGACCCAGGGCTGGGGCCCCTGACCTCACCCCGCCCTACAGGAGAGGAATGAGGGAGGGGGTGCTGGAGACAGGCCCAGGCCTGGCTCAGGGCTGCAGCAGGCGAGTCCAGACAGGCCCTCGAGGTAGGGGACACGCCTGGGCACACTTGGGTCTTTGTGTCTCTGGGGGATCAACACCTCCTCCTCTTTGCTCCTTCGACTGTGGGCAAAGTTCTTCCCATTGCACAGAGGGAGATACTGAGGCCCTGACCACAGGAGATCCCTGGGTGCAGTTTCTCCCCCGCCTTCTTCCTGGGGAGACTGCGGTTGTAGGGAGTTCATCGGGGGCCCCTCTGCAGGCTTCATGGTCACCTCACCTTCCTCTTGGCCAGGTCCTCTTTGCAGATTGACAAGAAGGCCTCTCTCTCCCCCCAAATCTCTTGATTTCTCCCCCAAAGCCAGACTTGCTTTCAAGTTTTAAAATTTTCCTTTAAAATTTTTTATTGTAAATGACTTTCCATGAAAAAGGTTAAATTGCCCCCTGGGGCAAGAGGGTAGGTGTGGGACACAGCCAAGGCTCAGTGTGGGTGTGGGGAGGGTATCCCCCCAAATGCAGACATCGGGGGCACCTCACCTCCTCAGTGCCAGTGGCTCCAGCCAGCTTGGTGCCCCTCCAGTTAAGTCCTTGCTATCTCTATGTGCACTATATTAGTTTGCCTGTACCCCTCAGCGTGGCTACCTCAGCCCAAGAACCCCAATTTGCTGCTGGTCAAATGGGTGCAAGGATTATAATGTACATCTGAAGCTTGACCCCAAAGGATGAGGCTGGGCAACAATCCCAGAGGCCTTGGAGGATTCCTGGCCCCCTGCACCCCCAGGCATATGTTTCTTCCACTCACCCTGCATCCCTGTCCTCTGCCCACCCCCCCATCCACTGTCCTCTCTCCACCTCACCCCACCCCAGGGAGGCTGCTGGGAGAGGCCTCCAGGGAGTTAATTTGCCACCACCTAATTAGCATCTGTTGTACCTGGGAACTTTCTCTGGATAGAGACCTGGGGAAGTGAGAGGCGGGAGCAGCACTGAGGCTGGGGTGCTCTGGGGAGGCCATGCTTTGCCCTCCTCCACCCCACCCCTCCCCGTGCTGGACTGGCCCCCTTCAGGCCTTGTTCGTACAGCATAGGGTCCTGCCAGTTCCCAGAGAAGGAGCTGAGGCTCTATTAAACACTGTGTGGATGTGGAGGCTTGGAGCCGCTGTGCCTCAGTTCTCAGCCGCCTGGGCTGGGGTGGTGAGGCCTCTCTGGGCCAGCCTCGGAGGACCCAGCACAGCCTTTGCCTGGGCGATGGGGCAGCCATGGGTCTGTGCTGGGGGGCAGTTCTGGGCACTGTCTGGAGGTGGGGTGGGGCCTGGACTCTTACAAGAAGGCACCCACACTGGTCCAGTCCTGCAGGTCGGCAGCCAGGGTGGCATCCCCGGCCTCAAAGAGTGGCTCTGGGGGCAGGGAGCCACTGCCACTCTCGTCCCAGGGGTGCTGCAGGAAGGACGTGGCCAGGAAGGTCTCGTCAAAGTCCAAGCTGTCGGCAGCCTGCTCCACCAGGGGCCCCCAGGTAGCAGGGCAGTCGATGTGGCGGCCGTGGACAGTGAGGTCCACGTCGCCATTGGAGGCGGGGCTCAGCGGCGGGCTCAGCTCCAGGGCCTCCAGGGAGCCCAGCTCCCCGCCCAGCGAGCCCGTCTCGAAGATAGCCTCCCAGTCAAAGTTGCCTTTGAGAGGCTCCAGCTCACCCTGCTCCTCCTGGGTCAGCAGCAGGGTGCTGGGAGGCCGCGGGACCTTGGCCACCCGCTTGGGCAGCGGCTGCTTGCGCTTGTGGCCTGGCCTGCCCTCGCCCCCTGCCCAGCCCGCCTCCCCTGTTGCCTCCTCGAACTCCTGCAGCAACTGCTGGGCTTCTGTGTTGATGGTCAGCTGCCCGGCCCAGGGGGCAGCGCTGGGCTCTTGCGTGGCCTGGCGGGCGAAGGCCGGGTGGATGTGGACAGGGGGCAGCCGCCGCTTCTTGAAGGCTCCACTCAGCAGCCGCTCGGCGTACTGGGGGTCGATGCGCCAGAAGCCCCCCTTGCCAGGCTCGTCTCTCTCCCGGGGCACTTTGATGAAGCACTTGTTCAGCGATAGGTTGTGGCGGATGGAATTCTGGACACAGGGACAGGGCAGGTGGGAGGAGAGAGAGAGAGAGTGAGCAACGACCAGGTTGGTGGGAAGGGTGGGTGGTGGGGTGCTTCTCCTGCACCCCCATCTCCTCCTTGATGAGGGAAGGAGGACGGAGAGCTGGTCTGGCGGGGCAGCTGGGCCGCGAGCCACTGGGCACAGGCAGTCAGGAGTGCGGCTGGAGGCTTTTGTCTCTGTTGCTGGGATATCTGTCTGCTCAGCCATCCGGAGCCCTGAGCCGCAGGGTGGCACGGAGAGCCACCCCTGTCGCCTGCCCGCCCTCCCTTACCCCACCACTCGAGGTCTCTGGCCAAAGCCCTGGGCTCCCCCACGGCCTGAACCCCCATTTTCCAACGTCAGATGTGAAGTGAGTGGGTTGGGTGAAGGAGTTAGGCAGCCTGTGTGTGTCTATGTGTGTGCACGCATGCAGGGGTGCAGTGTGGGGGGCTCCTAACTGTTGAGCCAGCTAGCTCCTGGCCTGGGCCCTCACCCCACCACCCCCTCCATCCACTGTTACTCAAGGAGAGCACAGACTGAATTCCTGGGGCCCAGGCCTAGGGTAGGCTAGGGCAGCAAGGGGGTCCTGTGGCCTCCCCCAGGGATTGGCATTTGCAGCCCAAGCAAATGAGGCAAGTCTTGGGCCAGGGACTCTGCAGCCTGCCTCCAGCAGGTGTCCCTGAGAACAGGCCCTGCCCAGCTGGCGCATCCTTGGGGCCTGTGTCCCCTCCTAGCTCCGAGTCCCGCCACTGTGAGACTGTCAGGACAAGGCCTGCGTGGTGGCAAAGCCACCAGCTTGTCTTGTGAGGATGGGTGCTTCTTTTTCTTCTAACCATATTGGGTAGGGACCGGTGACTGCGGCTGGGACAGCTGGGAGTGGAATGGCGCTGGGGCAGGGGGCTGGACAGGGTGTGCTTGGGGCAGGGGGCTGGGATGTTTACACGGTGGCCAGGCCCCTGGGCTGCTCTGTGCCAGGTTCCAGAGACTTGGAAGGTGAAGGCAGAGCGGCAGGCAGAGCCCCTGTGGAGGGCACCTGCTCAGGTAATTGTCTCCCCAGGGAGCTGGGCTGAGAAGAGGGGAGGGGGAGGCGGCAGGAAGCTGGGAGGGGTGAAGTGGGGGGCTGGGACACAACTTTAGGAAGGGCCCTCGTCCCTCCTGCTAGCTCAGCTGGCTCTCCCTGGGCCTCCCTCTGGGACAGCAGAGGGCCACAGAGGCTGGCAGGGAGCCCACCTCTCAGCCTCTGGCCCAGTCTTTGCCCTGACAAACTATCCTAGGCCTGGCTGTGTCTAGGAATTCTAGGACTTGGGACAAAGCTGTGCACCTCCTTCTACGCCTTCCCAGGAGGCTGTGTCCCTGCCATGCCCCAGCTCTGGCCTTAGACTGGATCTGCTGGGTAAAGGGCAAGGTCTCTCCCCAGGAGCCTCAGCCTCTGCACCCCGAAAACCTGCACGCTGGCTTCTCTTCTCAGCAAGTCAGCAGGGTTCCCTTCAGCACTGGCCTCACTGGCCTAAGACCGACCCTGTGGCCTGCCGGATCTGGGGTGGGCGTCCCGGGAGGGGCCTGGGGAGGGGTGAGGAGGGAGCTGCCGCCCCCCACCCCTCCCCTACCTGCCAGGTGGGGTCGGCGTGGCGGAAGTAGCAGAAGTTATCGGTGATCCACTTGTAGATGGCCGACAGCGTGATCTTGGTGGCCTTGCTGGCCTGCATGGCCATGCAGATGAGCGTGGCGTACGAATAGGGCGGCTTCACGTGCGGGTTGGTGGCGTAGTCCACGTCGTCGGGGGGCGGAGCCTGCAGCCCCGGGGGCGCGCTCCTGGACGTGCACGACGACGTGGGCCTGCCCGGCGTGTGTGGCGGCCCCAGGCAGGCGGGGTCAGCGGCCAGGGGGGACCCCGGCGCGGCCGAGCCTGGGACGTGGTGGTAGCCCCGGGGGTCGGCGGCCCCCAGGGGCAGGGTGGGAGCCTTGGCGCTGAGAATGGAGAACTCCTGCAGCCACTGCAGGCTGGTCAAGCTGTCATCCAGGGCGTCGGGCTCCTCAGGGCCGCCCTCCTCCGCAGGCCCGCTCCCCGCGAGGCGCAGCCAGCTCTCCGCCATGTCTGCGCGGGCTCCCCGAGGGGGCAGCCACCATCCACGGGCTCCGGCCTCCGGCCTCGCGGCTCCGGTTACAGGGCCGCCTGGACGCGCGCCTCCATCCTGAGCCCCGGGGACCGCGGCCTCGTAACGTGTGTGGTCGCCTGCGGGGACCGCGGGGGAGCAGGTGTGTGTAAAAGGGGCTCTGCTGGGGCCGCCCCACAGTTGGAGAGGACCCGTGAGTGCTGCGGACAGGGAGGTGGAAGCCGCGCCCTCGGGTGCCGGCCCCTCCGCGTCTGCCTCTCCATTTTCTCGAGCTTTTAAAGGCGAAGCCAAAAGACAGCAGAGGGTTAGGGGCACCCCAACCCTTTATCTGGAAGAGCGGGAAACAGTGTCTCCCCAACAAGTGAAAGCGGGGACAAGAAAAAGGGGGCTGTGGGGCGAAAAAGTCATCAGATCCGTGAAAAGTTACATCAGAATGAAGGTGTCTCAGGAAACACAAAAAGTTACGGGGGAGCGAGTTGTGAGTTACCCTAATTCCCTAAATGTCTGTCCCGGGGTCCTCACTTCTGTCGGAAACGGATAGGAGGGCGGGCGTAGTACCGACGTCCTCCCTGCCCTTGGCCCAAAGTCCTCCCTGTCCCTTACCTGGCTCGGAGCGCAGCCCAGACCAGAGGAAGGTTCTAGAAGAAGTTCCTCCCACCTTCTGCGGCTCTCCGCCTCCAGCTCGAGGGCTCCAGCGGCGCCCTCGTCGCCCCCCCCGCCCGACGGCGACTCTCTGAGCCCCTGCGGCCCCGGGACCGGCATTAAGTAGCCGCTCCAAAGGCTTCTCCGGCTGCCATGGCGACGCTCCGCCCCATAAACAGCTTCTGCTGCTGCCATTGGCCAGCC